TTGATAATGAATGAACAAAGTGTATTTATTATTAATGAAGAAAGTCACGAAAAAATAGTGAAAGAAAATGAGTGAGTACCCTATATACATACATTTTATTATTATCACAAATGCAGTATTAATTTTGAATTGAAAATATAATACTGCTATAAAGATAACCTAAATTTTTAATATTAAAATGAGCGACATTAAAAGTAGCCCTCTTTTATACACACAAACACACACGCGTATAGTTTAAATACTCAATTAAGATTCTCAATATATATATATATATATATATATATATATATATATATATATATATATATATATATATATATTATAAATTAATTCTTCATTATGCATATAACAGAAGCCATCGAACCAAGCACGTGTAGTATTCAGTACCTTTGTTTTTGGTGTATAGATAATGCCCATGAATGCCGCGCAGAGAAAGTATATATGATATTATATCTATATAAATGTACATCGCGCGAAATTCGATAATCACTTGTTAATATCGTTATTTTTTTTTTAAATAATAATTTTGTTTTGGTGTGTCATTACACTATTTATACCTAATTATTCATACCTATTATTTATACCTAGATATTTTCGTTTTATAGAGAAGAAAAGCGTAAAGAGCTAAAAAGAAAAAAAAAGAAAAATATTTTAAAAAATATTAACTTTTATTTATTTAATAAAAGAAAAAAAATTGTTTTCTTATCGGTCACCACGCTCAAAAAGTGTAACTTGAATTAATATCAAAGAAAAAGAAATACTACATAAATAAAATAAATAAAAAATAATTATAATTCCATAAGTTGATACAAAATGCTATGCAATAGCTTTACCGCGGTAGTCCCCGAGTGCCACACGTCTTTTTTAAATTTTCTTGTGATATAATATAGTTAATTGCCGTCCGTATTTTACAATAGTTTTCGTAGTAAATTTTTACCGTTAAATAACTAATTTTCATATAATTCGTTTTCTTATTATCGTATTTTCATAGAATTTTTAAACTTTTTAAAATCTTCGATTTCTCCGCTCTCTTAAGGCTTATAAGGTCCGCATCGTAAAGAAACTTCCATCTACACTTAAATTTGATAGATAAAACAAACGGAACTCGAAAAATTGCTGCTCACCTAAACCGAGCCGTAAATTCAAAAATAAAAACACAAATTCATCCGTAATTTTACCGAAAATTGGTCTTTTCTGTTTAAATTTTCTTGAAAGTATATAAATAAGTGTATAAGTAAGTATGTAAGCAAGTATATCAGTGGGTATATAAATAAATATAATAGTAAGTATATTAGCAAGTATATAAGCAAGTATATGAGTAGGTATGTAAGCAAGTATCTAAGCAAATTTATAAGCAAGTATATAAGCAATTATATAAGCAAATATATAAGCACGTATATAAGTAAGTAAAAGAGCAAGTATGTAAGCAAGTTTATAAGCAAGTATATAGGTAAGTATATAAGCAAGTATATAAGTAAGTATATAATATATAAGTTTATGTAGTGTAATTTCCCTCGCTGCACACCTAAACCGAGACGTAAATTTAGAAATAAAAACAAAAATTCATCCATAATTTGACCGAAAATTGGTCTTTACTGTTTAAATTTTCCCGTTGTGTAGTGTAACTTATAGCTTCCCGTATTTAATAATATATTTTATATAATTCCTTTTCTGATAAACGTATTTTCATAAAATTTTTATAAGCTTTTTAAAATCTTCGATTCTCTTGCTCTTTTTACGCTAATAAGGTCCATCCCATGTAGAAACTGCCATCTACATTCAAGATTGATAAAAAAATCTTCATGAAACTCAAAAAATCGCTGCTCACCCAAACCGATCCGTAAATTCAGAAATAAAAACACAAATTCATTCATAACTTGACTTAAAATTGTCTTTTCTGTACAAATTTTATTGTTATATAGTGTAAATAATTGCCGTCCGTATTTTACAATAGTTTGCGTAGTAAATTTTCACTGTTAAATAACTAGTTTTCATATAATTCCTTTTCTTATAATCGTATTATCATAGCATTTTTAAACTTTTTAAAATCTTCGAATTCTCCGCTCCTTTATGGCTTAAAAGGTCTCTTTCATATAGAAACTGCCATAAACTTTCAAATATGATAGATAAAGGAAACGGAACTCGAACAATCGCTGCTTACCTAAACCTAGCCGTAAATTCAGAAATGAAAATTGTCTTTTCTATTTAAATTTTCTTGTGATATAATGTAATTAATTGCCCCCGTATTTAACAAATGTTTTTGCGGCAAATTTTCACCGTTAAATAGTAACTAATTTTCACATAATTCCTTTCCTTATTATCGTATTTTCATAGAATTTTTAACTTTTTAAAAATCTTCGATTTCTCCGCTCCCTTTAGGCTTATAAGGTCCGCATTGTGTAGAAACTTCCATCTACACTCAAATTTGATAGATAAAACACACGTAACTCGAAAAATTGCTGCTTACCTAAACCGAGCCTTAAATTCAGAAATAAAAACACAAATTCATCCGTAATTTTACCGAAAATTCGTCTTTTCTGTTTAAATTTTCTTGAAAGTATATAAATAAGTGTATAAGTCAGTATGTAAGCAAGTATATCAGTGGGTATATAAATAAATATATTAGTAAGTATAGCAGTATATAAGCAAGTATATAAGTAAGTAAATGGAGTATGTAAGCAAGTCTATAAGCAAGTATATAAGGAAGTATATAAGCAAGTATATGAGCAAGTATATAATTTATAAGTTTATATAGTGTAATTAATTTCCCTCCCGTAATTAGAAATAAATTATTTTGACCGAAAATTGGTTACTTTTTTTTCTTTTGTATTGTAAATTTTCACCGATTTAACAAATATTTTCATATAATTCATTTTCTTATAATCGTATTTTCATAGAATTTTGAACTTTTTAAAATCTTCGGTTCCTTTGCTCTTTTTACGCTTAATAAGGTCATCGTATCGTGTAGAAACTTCCATCTACATTCAAGATTGATAAAAAAATCCATACGAAACTCGAAAAATCGCTGCTTACCCAAACCGAGCCGTAAATTCAGAAATAAAAACGCAAATTCATTCATAACTTGACTGAAAATTGTCTTTTCTGTTTAAATTTTCTTATTATAGGATGAAATTAATTGCCCCCGTGTTAACAATAGTTTTTGCAGTAAATTTTCGCCGTTAAATAACTAATTTTTATATAATTCGTTTTTTGTAATCGTATTTACATAGAATCATTAAACTTTTAAAAACCTTCGATTCCCTTGGTCTTTTAACGCTAATAAGGTCCGTTCCTTGTAGAAACTGCCATCTACACTCAAACTTGATAAAAAAACTACACGAAACTCGAAAAATCTTTACTTACCTAAACCAAAACTTAAATTCAGAAATAAAAACATAGATTCATTCATAACTTGACTTAAAATTGTCTTTTCTGTACAAATTTTATTGTTATATAGTGTAAATAATTGCCGTCCGTATTTTACAATAGTTTGCGTAGTAAATTTTCACCGTTAAATAAAGAATTTTCATATAATTCCTTTTCTTATAATCGTATTATCATAGAATTTTTAAACTTTTTAAAATCTTCGAATTCTCCGCTCCTTTTTGGCTTAAAAGGTCTGTTTCATATAGAAACTGCCATAAACTTTCAAACATGATAGATAAAGCAAGCTAGGTTAGGTTAGGTTAGGTTAGGTTCCCGTGTGGGGACTCCGCACCCTCTACCGCTGCAGCCGAGGTGGAGTCGCGGAGGAAGAGGAGTGTTGGTATGGCGATGCGCCACTCGCCCTATCCTCCGCGACTCAAACGGGGCCGCACCGTTGATGCGGTGGTGATGGGGCTGCGGGGGGCGAGGATTGTCGGTAGTGCGAGTCGCCGCTCTCCCTATCCTCCGCAGCCGAATCTTGGTTGGCGGCGGAGCCATAGACCAGATCCGCCGCTGGGGTCGGGAAGGCTAGTACTTCTAAGTGCTCGTTTTTCCTGGCCCCATGGCCTTCGCGCATCGGACGCGGGGGCGTCTGTTGCGAAGATGCAATTGGAGGCCGTGGAGGAAGGCGTGCCATGTGTTCTGGTGCGCCTTACCTGGGAAGGAGAACGGGGAGGAATATTCCTCTCCCGAGGAGGTGCTGCCATGGGGCGGCAGTCGCTGGTAGGGCCGCGGAAGTGTGCGAAAGCGTTCCCGTAGCCCTGCCAATATGCGACGAAGGTGGAACACCATGGGGTTTTAGTCGGTGCGAGTCCGACATAACCCGTCCTTGCCCCCGCGTGGCGGGTATGCGTAGGCATTTCCCCCTTTTAAAAAAAAAAAAAAAAAGGTTCCCGTGTGGAGTTGCCAGTCCTCCCATCGGGCGCGTCCTCAGGTGGCGGATAGGGGAATGCTACTCAGATATGAGTGGTAGCGGGAAACCGTCGCGGACCAAAACTGGCTGGGTTTGGGCGTACCTGTGGTTCCGAATTGAATCATAGGTACGAGGTACTTTTGTTGCTTCCCGTATCCTCTCCATTGAGAGGAACAGAGAATGTGACATGCGCGGTGAGATGCCAGGTGCACTCAGCTTTTGCCGACGCCCGGCAGCGCGTCATCGCGGGATTTTCAGGGACTACATCCTGAAAAAAAAAGGAAATTGAATGGGCTCAGGATTCCCTCACCCGGTCTCTGGGCAGGCATGGGAAGAACCTGTATCGACTCTGCCACCGTTCGAACCTCGGAATCCCTTTGGCGTGTCGTGGATCAAGTCTCGCGGCGCCTGAGGGGCCGATGGCTCTTGGCTTAACCGTCTGGAGTCGCGAGGATGATAACCTCTATAAAAAATCACCCGAAGCTCAAGCGTGGCACGCCGTGAGGAGCTGCACGGCTGATGGGTAAATATTCAGTCGTTAGCGTTGCCCCCCCGTCAGGGTACCGGCCGACACCCTTGACGGGTTATGCATAGGCTTATCCGGGCAAAGGGGGCTCTGCTTGGATGGACCGTTACTTCCTCCACACTCGTGGGAAAAAAAATGGAAAAATATAAAAATTATAAAACATCAGAAGGAGATAAGCAGGCTGGATCGGAATCAGATGCAAGCCTATGTAGCGATGTATCAAGGACAGCTTCTAAGTCTGGAGGTCGCTCCCGTGGAGCGAAAAAGAGACGTATGACAAAATCAATATCGTCCAGCGACAATGAAGCTTTTTTAAAAGAGACGAATTCTGAGACAGGAAAAGAGGTGACAACATTAATGGATAATTCTGGAGAGTTCGTAGTGCCAGGGCCTGAGGAAGCTCTTAGTATGGCTGAGAGGCAAGTGGAACAAATGGTTTGTGCTGCCAATCAAAAACGAACTGCCTTGGGGCTACCTAATTTAGTCGGAGATGACAACCGTTCGGCATTGGCTCTCAACCAACAGGTTCTCGACGATATCCTTGCCTTGCTAGCCTCGGTATCGAATCTCTGCAGTACCGACAAGCGGCCACTGGAGCTCGCATTTTAGAGATACCAGGAGCAACGAGCGGCGATAAAGCTGACTCCTTGGCTAAGATATTAAAGGAGTCGTTGCCTGAGGAGGTGGCTAGAGTATCTAGACCAACGAAATGTGCAGAGATGCGCATCTCTGGCCTGGACGACTCTATAACTACAGAGGAAGTTGTTGCTGCCATTGCACAGCAAGGGGAATGTCCTGCAGAAATGGTGAAAGTAGGCGAAATCCGCAGTACAAGCTCTGGCACTGGTACTATCTGGGTGAGCTGCCCGGTACCTGCAGCCAAGAATGTTGAAGGAGGCGGGCGTCTTTTGATCGGATGGGTGGCGGCACAGGTGAAAATATTGCCACATAGACCATTACGGTGCTATTAGTGTCTGCATAGTGGACATGTGCGCGCGCAGTGCACTTCAGAGGTGGACCGTAGTAATGACTGCTGCCGATGTGGCCAGACTGGCCATAAGTCAGCGAAGTGCACGGCTGCGCCAAAATGTTCCCTGTGTATTGCAGCAAACAGGCCGGCTGACCACGTACTGGGGAGCAAGAGGTGCTCGCCTCCAAAACAAAGAAGAAAGGGCGTTATAGTGGGTGAAAGGACCCCGCCTACGCAACCTCAAATGGAGGAGGCGATGGCAGTCCAGTAACATGATGGCTGATAATTGCAATTATCGTCTCCTTCAGGCCAACATCAACCACTGTGCCGGCGCACAGGATTTGCTTTTGCAGAGCATGGCACAGTGGATGATTGATATAGCGGTGGTCGGCGAGCCATACTTCGTCGCTTCCAGGAACAACTGGGTAGGTGACATCGATGGCTTAGTGGCCATCATATCGTCGACGGCTGCAAGCGTCCCACCTTCCACAATAGTTGCGAGAGGTAAGGGATATGTGGCGATTCTGTGGAGGGAAATAATTCTCATCGGGGTATACTTCTCTCCAAACAGATGCCTTGCCGAATTTGAGACATTCTTGAGCGATTTGGGGGCTCTTATTGGGCGAAACCTACCTCGCCCAGTACTTGTCATGGGAGACCTTAACGCTAAATCTACTGTCTGGGGTTCTCCTATGACTGATGCGCGTGGCGAGGCACTAGAGGACTGGGTGACTATAACGGGCCTAACATTGCTGAATCAGGGATCGGTCTACACATGCGTGCGGAGACAGGAAGGATCTATCGTAGACGTCTCGTTTGCATCCCGTGCCATAGCAAGCTGCGTTCATGGCTGGAGAGTTTTGGAGAACGTGAAAACGTTGTCGGACCATCGTTACATTCGTTTCGATGTCTCCACTTCTCCAGAGACTCCAAGCGTCGGTCTTCCGGTCAGAAGGCATATCCCATCATTAACCAAAAGATGGGTATTGAGAAGTATGAGTAGAGATGCTGTCATTGAAGCCTCTATTGTCCAATCGTGGCTGTCCCCACCAAATGGGCCTGTAGAGGTTGAGACGGAGACAACTTGGTTTCAGGATGCTATGACACACATCTGTGACGCAAGCATGCCCCGCGCCAAACACCCACCTCCAAGGCGCCAGGTGTACTGGTGGTCTGTAGAGATAGCAGTTTTACGCACTAACTGTGTGAAAGCGAGGCGCCTGTACGCCAGGTATCCGACGAGCAAAAAAAACCAAAGCTCCAGGTCCCGACGGCATTCCTGGCCGCGCCTGGGTTTTAGCCCTCAAGGAACTAGGGGAACGATTCCGCAGACTACTTGATGCCTGTCTGGAGATGGGACGGTTTCCATTACAGTGGAAAACAGGCAGGCTAGTCCTTCTGAAGAAGGATGGGCGCCCCGCCGACTCTCCCTCCGCCTACCGCCCTGTAGTATTACTCGATGAAGCAAATAAGCTCTTCGAGCGAATAATAGCCTGTCGCCTTATCGGGCATCTCGAAGAGATGGGTCCCTATTTGTCAGACCAGCAGTTTTGCTTTCGAATGGGTCGGTCAACGATAGACGCAATTAAATGCGTCAAGGCCCATTCGGACGAGATTTTAGCAAGGGGTGGGGTTTTATTGGCAGTGTCTATAGATATTGCCAACGCTTTCAACACCATGCCCTGGGAGTGCATCAGCGAGGAACTGAAGTACCACAAGGTGCCTCGCTATCTCAGACGAATAATCGGGAGCTATCTCTCTGAGCGATGTGTCTGCTATCCTGGGCGTGAAGGCAGGATATTAAGGAGGGTAATGTCGTGCGGCGTTCCACAAGGCTCGGTTTTAGGACCGCTTCTTTGGAACGTCGGTTATGACTGGGTGTTGCGGGGAGACCTTCCCCCGGGTGCTGGCATAATCTGCTATGCAGACGATACTCTGGTCACTGCCCGGGGGGAGACCTATGAGGTAGCCGTTCGTATTGCCACTACGTCAGTGGCACTGGTTGTTGGCAGAATTAGGATGTTGGGGCTGGAAGTGGCGTTAAGCAAGTCCCAGGCCATCTGCTTTCACAGGCCTCGAAAAGCACCGCCACAGGGATCCCACATCATTGTCAGTGACGTCCGTATTCAGGTTGGGTCCAATATGAGGTACCTTGGACTCATCCTGGATAGCCGTTGGAGCTTCCGCGAGCACTTTAGGTGCTTGGCCCCCCGGCTAATGAGAGCAACAGCTGCCTTAAAATGGTTGCTACCCAATGTCGGAGGGCCCGATGCGAATTGCCGCCGTTTCTATTTTTTTTTATAGAAGAGGGGGGCAAACGAGCATGTGGCTCACCTGATGTTAAGTGACTACCGCCGCCCATGATCAACCGCAACACCAGGGGAATTGCAGGTGCGTTGCCGGCCCTTTAGAAAGGAGTAAGCTCTTTTCTTGAAGGTCCCCAGGTCGTATCGGTCCGGAAAAATCACCGGTGGTAAATTATTCCACAGAGAGGTTGTACGCGGAAGAAAACTCCTTTTGAAACGTACAGTGGTGGACCGCCAAGCATCCAGATGGTGTGGATGGTATCGGGACGTTTGCCGTGTAGTGCGTTCACGAAATTTGGCGGCTGGGATTAATCCGAACAATTCCTCAGAGCACTCCCCGTGATAGATGCGATAAAATACGCAAAGAGATGCAACATCTCTTCGCAGCGCCAGTGAATCGAGCCGATCGGAAAGCACTCGGTCGCTCGACGACTCAAGCCGCTCTGCGCTGGATGCGGTCAAGTGGAAGGAGCTGGTACTGGGGAGCCCCAGCCCAGAGATGGGAACAGTATTCCAGCGGCCGAACCTGCGCCTTGTAAAGTTGCAAGCGGTGTGCCGGCATGAAATACTGTCCCGCTCTGCTGTGCACGCCAAGCTTTTTTGAGGCCAATTTGGCCTTCCCTTCCAAGTGACCACGAAACTGCACGTCACTCGATATGTCGACGCCGAGGATTCCGATACTGGCTGAGGCAACAAGGGGAGTGCCTTGAAACTGAGGGGATACGACAAAGGGGTTCTTTTTAGCGGTTAACGCGCAAACTTGTGTCTTCTGGGGGTTAAACTGGACTAGATTAGTCGCCCCCAATCCGAGACTCTGTCCAGCAGAGACTCGACTTCAGACACAAGTTTGTCCCGGCACTCAGAGACGTTTTCCCGAGAAATATTGGCTCGGCCGGTGTAAAGAGCATCACCAGTGCTGTCATCTGCATAGCAATGAATGCTACGGGTTTGCAACATATCATTGATATGCAGAAGAAACAGCGTTGGCGATAGCACGCAGCCCTGTGGAACACCAGCATTAATAAGCTTGCAATCGGAGCTTGCACCGTCTACAACGACCTTGATGCTCCGATCTGCAAGAAAACTGGTGATCCAATCGCACAATTTCTCGGGAATCCCATAGGAAGGGAGCTTCGAAAGAAGCGCTTTGTGCCAAACCCGATCGAAGGCCTTCGCAATGTCCAAACTAACGGCCAATGCCTCCCCCTTGGACTCTACTGCCTCCGCCCATCTGTGAGTTAGGTAGACCAGAAGATCACCAGCTGACCTACCACGGCGAAAACCGTTTTGGCGGTCACTAATCAGCTGGTGATCCTCAAGGTACCTCATGAGCTGGCAGTTTACAATGGACTCCATTGTTTTGGAGAACAAGGAGGTGATGGCGATAGGCCGGTAGTTGGACGGGTCTGAGCGGTCGCCTTTTTTTAGGGATTGGGTGGACGAAAGCCGTCTTCCATGATTTTGGGACTACGCCTAGGGAGTAGGAGTACCGGAAAAGACGTGTTAAAACCGGTACCAACTCTGGAGCACACGTCCTCAGCACAATTGGGGGATTCCATCAGGCCCACTCGACTTATGGATGTCCAGGGAGAGGAGTGCTTTGCGAACCGAGCGCTAAGTGAACTGCACTTCCAGCAAGGAGCACTCACACCGCGGGATGGTCGGCGGCGTACTCCCACCGTCATCGAGAGTCGAGTTAGACGCAAAGAAAGAGCCTAGAAGATCGGCTTTCTCCTTTGCGGTGTGGGCCAGTGAGTCGTCCTCCCTGTGCAGCGATGGAAGAGATGTCTGACAGAAATTCCCCTGGACAGCCTTGGCGAGAGACCAGAATGCACGGGTTCCAGAAGCAAGACGAACTAGTCTCTCGCCAATTAAGCCTATGTGCTCTGACTTTGCCTTGGCAATGACTCTTTTGAAGGACCTAGAGGCGGAATTATACTTCTTTTTTAGAGCGCTGGTGTTTACATCCCTGTACGCTGATGCGTCAGCCCAGGCTCGGTAGCACTCCTGCTTATAGCATGATGCTATTTTACAGGAGCGACCAAACCATGGCTGAGATTTGCCTCCAATGGGCACCACAGAGGAAGGAATAAAAAGTTCCATACCCTGAAGTACCACATCAGCGACATAATCCGCAACAACGTTGGAATCATCCGGCGAGAAGCAAACCCGCCCCCAAGGGTAGGATGCAAAGAAAGACCGCATCCCATCCCAATCGGCTGACCTATAGTGCCAAACACGGCGGCAGCCTGCAGAATGCAACCGCGGTTTCAGCGTGAGCACCACACTCCGGACAAGACAATGGTCCAAGGAGCCTAAAGGGGCGTCGACGG